AGACCTATAAAATATATTTTCATGGAATTTATTGAGTACAAAACCCAATAAGTTAAAAATTCTATCGAAAGAAAAATATCAATATGTCAACAACTCAACAAATTCACATTTTGGCTAATAGGTTACGGAGGTTATAATTCAAAACCAAATCATATCTTTGAGACTCTAGTCTTTTGGGGTTTTAGAATTTTCCATAGCAAGCACTTGCCAACCTTTAATACTATTCAGCTTTCGCGGTGAATTAGAGGGTTGAGTCAAGACAAATACTATGATCCATTTCTCGAATCAGAAATTCACATAAGGATTGATTTTATCAACAATGCGAGGAATGGAATTCCATAGATAACTGATAGCTTGAGGTAAATTAACTGAGACTGAGTTGACTGGAGGTAGAGAAGAGTGGCAATACCATCACCGGCTACGCCACAATTACGAAGGAAAAAAAGGGCCTCGACGGTTGTGGTAAGTAAAGAGATTGTGGGTTTTGTACAAATTTTTCGAAACCCATGTTACCAAATTAAGATTTTTGGTTGAAGCTAAAATTGGTTTGTTTCTGGATTGTAAGGGTTAGTACAAAATCGAGAGAAAAGAAGTCAAAGAAGAATAAAATGGATAGAAATATGACCTGCAAAAGATATTTAGGGTAGATTTGATTATAAAGATGGAATTGAATTGAATTCAAGGAAATTGAATTACTTAGAAATTATTTTTTTAGAAATTGTAAATTATTTTGTTTGATTGGTATAATTTTTCACATTGAAAATGTTGAAATAAAATTATTTTTTAGTGTTCGTTTGACTTTGTTTTACATGAAAATTGTCTATTAAAGGGATAGAATTTACTGGTATTGGAGATGAAATTTGTTTCCGTTGCCAACCAAAAAAAAATAAGAAAATCATTTATTTTTTGGTGTTCGTTTGACTTTATTTTACATGAAAATTGTTAGTTAAAGGGAAATATTTTTTTACAATAATTCTTAGAATTTGTTTCTATTGTCAACACACAACAAAAAATAAAAAATTAAAATTAAAAAAAAATCAAAAAAAGTGCTACAGTAACCCGGAAAACGATTTCCCACCAATATGATGAGAATTCGAATTCAAGAAAAAGCTAGAAAATGCTGACATGGCGGCCAAAGGTGGAAAACGAATTTCTTGGAAAATTTCATCAATCAAACAAGCCAAAAATAAAAGTTGGAATTCGTTTTCCATTTTCCCTAAAAAATAAGTGGGTATCAAACATAACCTTAATGAACAGTTGAAGGATGTTTATTGATAAACAACAGAGAGCAAGTTGATGTGTGAAATGGAGGGTGCACAAATAAACAATATTTTATTACTCTATGTTTTACTCATTAATTGTACTCATTTCCTTGATTTGATATTCACAAAATTATTTTCAAATTAGATTTTTAATGAGGTAGTTATTGCATAAATAATCATTCAAGTGGAGTGTTGTAAAATAATAGATAAATATGGATTATTAGTTAATCTTATCAGCATATCTAGATGATAGGTCTACATACTTTAGAAGACTATATTTTGATAACCATTATTGTGTAAAAATAGAGTGATTTTTTGGAGAACTTGTGATTAAAAAGTGAAGAAACATTTCTTGGGTTTACATAAAAAATATTTTATTATGTGAATGTGTATTTGAAAATGAGTACAAGACGTTACACCTATTTGGTTGAATCTATTGCTGCAAGCTATGAGTTATGAAAAGCAACTTGGTATTATCATTTAAGTCTTATGATTGATTGATGCCCTTGATGGGAAGTTATGCTCACATGGATGAAGCCACGTACCTTCTCATCTGACGGTCCTCACTCACTATCTCATATTATAAAATCTCACACTTAGTATCATTCGAGGGTAATACAAGTTTAGACTTTCACACTTAATAACTTTGCTCTATATTCACTATTTTCCCCTAAAACTGACACCTTTTGTTTTATATTGAAACTCATGTTAAAGGCCCTCCCACAGTTAATACACTTCTTCCCCAACTGACTTGATCGTCGGAGTACGCACGGTCGGCACCAACCCCACTAGAGAAAGCCATGTGTGTCTAACGTTTTATCTTAGCGTGTAGGTAAACGACTTATATGGATGTGAGAGGTTTCGAGATTTGTTGACCATCTGGAAATACATTTTTTGAGGTCAACAAGACGTAAATTGTCTTGTTGTAAAGAGAGTCAAACAAATAATGTTACATGTGCAAAAGCAATTACATAATGGTTTACATATAAATGGTTTACATATAAATTATATATCAAAAAGAGAGTGAGAAAGTTTTTTTATTTTTTTAGTTGAAGAAATTTTGATCCAATCATATCTCACTACTTTATGTGTATATAAGTTATTATGTAAACCTATTATGTACATGTAGCACAATCAAAGCCAAACGAGGACTTATTTGCCTTCTGTTTTGTTTTTTTATTTTCCCCTCTTGATTTCATAACACTTCTCTCTTTCTTTGCACCATTTCTTTAAACAATGAAAAAACCATCATTAGCACAGTACCAAATAATAGAATTCTAGTTTTTCAATGTAATGTCTATAATTATAATAAAGTGCTATCTAATGTTTTAAAATACTCTAATTATATAAAACAATAATTATTGAGCTATGGGCTATTGAGAGAAACTCAAAAAAATGTAAACGAAAAGAAAAAAAGAGAGGCAATTTACAGGATTCCAAACAAAGACGTGGTACTGTTGTTTAATCAATTATGTAGCTTAACTATTAAGAAAACTTTATACAAATTTAATTCTACGTATATATAATTAAATTTTCATTCTATATATAAAGAAAATAAAAAAAAAATTATTATTTCTATCGAAACATAATCTAAAATATATTTGAAAAGTTAATACTCAAGAAATATTTCACCTTTTCTTGGAGTTTTCCCTCTTTGAAGAAAGAGCGGACGTCACTCGTCTGTATCAAATTATAATAAATATGTATTGAAGCTTGGGCCGAGCCCCATTTTGGGATATCTGCCCAAGCTCGAGCTCGGTCAGCCCGTGTGGCTAGCCTGCTCGGGTTCATGGGCCTTAAAAAAGGAGAAAATTGAATTTAAAGGCAGAAACATGTTCCCTTTTGCTGCCTACCTAAAGACAGCCAGTAGTTATATAAATAAAATCAATAAATAAAAAAGAGTCTGCTCGGCTCGACTTGGAAAGATCCTAGTCGAAAGCTCGGGTCGAACATAGATTTTTTGGTCGAGCAAAGGCTTAGCTCGACTCGGACCCGAAAAAAGCTTGCACCATTTTACTCTAGCCAAGATCGACTCGACTCTTCTCGTTGACATCCATAAATAAATATGTATAGATGATGACAAAAAAATAGCAGTAAATTTCATAAACGTCCATTGAATTTATGACAACATAACAAATATACTCATTTTGTCCTTATCACTATCCGTAATATGAATTCTAAAAACTATTCGTAATTAGTGTTGATTTGTTATATTAAACATAATCATGTTATAAATAGTGTTGCTAGTTTGGTTCTATTCATCTTTTCGGATCACTAAGTTCTCCTAAGCTTCGGGTATGTCTGTTAGTGGTGATTGGTCACCGATCATATGCTTTGCTCACTCTCTCTTCTTGTCTTCCATGACTTATGTTGATCAATGTCCAATTGCCTAAGAATCTTACCTTTACTTAGAGAGGGTATTGGTACCACACTCTTCCATGCTTGTAGGTTGACTCCCCTATACAATGAATGAGGATAGGTGTTGAAAGAGGACTTCCCCTCCTTATCGAGAGAGCGCTAAAAGTCACCTGGAGGACTCCAACCCAAAAAGAGAAATGAGACCAGCCTGGAGGGTCTTCATTCATACGGGTTCATAACGGAGCCTGGGCATTCTCTCTCCCTACTTAACTAACAAGCAATGGCAACTAACAAGCAATGGGGACAAAGGCCTCAAATCCTGTCTTTGATGGTGATGAATTGCGATTGGTCTAAACCTTCGACTGGATAAGAAAAAAGTAATATCAAAATTTTGTTCATATTATACAATATTGTTTCAAACTATGTACTGAATGGACATAGGAACATGTCTTGATATACTAGACGGCTATTGCTCCCATATTGATTACAACTTATTCCACTAGCTGTCTAAATAGAGTAGAAACTTGTTGACACCACTCACCATTCAGACTTCAAGACAATCCCCTCTCGACTTCGCAAAAATAACAAGTTATATATTATTTTTTTAAATATTTATCTCTTTTTTTTTAATGACGGAAAAACCAGTAGACTCAAGGGCTATAGTCCATGAATTTTGTTTAGAGATTATTATTATTATTATTTTATATTTTTTTTGCATAACATATGTAACGAAAACATGGATATTTTTTCTTCATGGCGATCGGATTGGACTGAAATTTGATTGAACACCCGTGTTCAATCTTGAGCTTCAAACTTCAACTCAATATAAATAAAAACACTTTACATAAGGCTCGAAGAAGCCTTATGTCATTCAGTCCTATGCACAAAAATCTAAATTGGGTTCTAAACTGGTTGTTGTTCAGATTTCCATTACATTAGCATGCCACAATTCAAATTTTTGAACCAAATAAGTCATTTTAACACACACACACACGTTTATATATGGTCTTAAGTTGATGATTAATTTCAGTATTATCAATAATTAAGCTTTGTGTGATGAAACTCTACTCGTAAGTTTATTATTTGTAACGATCTATACAATTGTATGATAAAAATCCACAACAATATGTTACTTGAAATATTAGTCAATGAAAATGACTTAGTTGTGGAGTTTCTCCCTTTCACGTGTTTAAACGGAGCGAAGACAATTCATCTGATTTTTAATTCGTCGATTTCCCAAAGTAGAAGGTCAATGTTTGGTGGATAAGAACCGATAGGATGGCTAGTAATGTTATTTATCTCACTAGAGATGATATTCATATGACATGACGTTAAATGATAAAACTAACATGTAAAGACATTAAAAAATCGAAGACGTATAGAAGGCTGTCCAATAACTCTGCACAATGAGATCTTAATATATGACATATGTAAAGATATGGAATAAACATCCTCAATATTCATCCAAACACACATAAAGTTCGAGTCAATAATGCTTCCTACTAGACATTTGCAGGAACAAGTTTAAACCATTGAATTTCTGGATTTTGAGGACAATTAGGAGCATTTTGAAGATTGTCCCCTATACACAAACATTTCTTAGTCACAATTGTGGAGTCAGCATCATTCTTTTCCAAGCACAGGAATTTGCCCTGTCCTCTTGGTGCAGCCAAATGAAGCCGGGAACTCGAAACTGATCTCCACATGCTCGAACAATCATTTGAGGCCTGGGCACCAACTCCTTCATCCACAACCCCGAGACACTGCGACGCCCCAGCCAGCTTGATCGGTCCACCATCTTCATGTTGATCAAATCGGCTCGCAGTCTTGCAGTTGGTTAGATAAACAGTTTTGCCAATCTTCGTACACTGGCCACTTAGTGGATGGTACAATAAATAGTAGGTTGGATGATTTGGCTTTACATCTGCACAAAACAAACAATTATCACTTATTTTCTTAGGGGTACTCACAGTATTTGACATCATTATCTGGTATTATATACTAATCGTGACTTAAAGGTGCATAATCCGAGTCAATTTCTTGGTACATGAAATACTTTGGAGTGTCGTTTACCTTGATTGATTTGTGTTATCAGTTGTAGCTTCTCTAGAAAGGATGGATTTTTTACATTATCCCAATTAATATCGAGTATCCCATAAGCTTCATCATGGTTAGCCTCGCCCTCTCTTAAAATGTAGCTACCTTGTAAAGCCCATAATGCCCAGTCAATATCATATTCTGCCACAGTTGCCAACAAGCAACTTATGTATCTGTTGTCTGCCTCATTGACACCCCTTTGATCAATTCCAAATTCACTCAAAAAAAGTGGAAATGGCCTGTTGCCACTAATTAGAAAAAGATAATTATTTTTAGCGCTTTGAGTAATATCTGCACATATATTGTTACTCTGAGCTATCCATTTTTCTTTCGAGATGGAAAAGGTGTACCAATGTGCTTCGAAAACCAACTTGTCATCAAAATTAACTTCGAATGGCTTTGTCTTGAGAAATTCAAGGTTTGTGTCAAAGTTTAACCCTGAGACGATGATCAGAATATTAGGGTTCTCTCTATGAATAGTAGTGGCACCCTCCTCCATGTACAATCGCCAATCGCCCTCACTCTGACGTGCACCTCGAAGCTCATTTCTCATGCTCATAGCTACAACCTACAAATAAGTGAACACATACTCTTGATACGGTTGGTTCCCTCGATTGTTACAGTATGATGGACAAGATAATAGAAATTGAAGCTATCAATGTACTTACCGCGGGATTATCCTTGTAGGTTCTTGCTACTATACTTAACCCTTGTACCCATTCCTTGGGATCAAAGTTAACATCTCCAAAGAATCCATTGCCATCATTATTAGAACAGCACCACGTTGGCAGGCTTACATGGTTATCCAGCACCACCATTATATTATTCTTCCCAAGCTCACTAACCACAGCCTTATGCAGATCCACTACACTCAATGACAACAATTGAGGATTATTCCTTGCAATCCCAGCCTTTGCATCTTTCAATCCAAAATTATCAAGTGATCGAGAAACTGTGATCTTACTATAATTTGCCCTTGTGAACATATAAGTAGCCCATGTGAAACGCACACAATTAAACCCCATTGAACTCACCTTCCCTGCAATATATTTCAAGGGTTTTTTCTCAAGCCCTTCTGCAATCATAGGCTGCAAATGGGAAACCCAATTTACACAGGCTAATTTTACTCTTTTTCCAGTTGCATGATCCACAATCCATCTTGAACTTGTCGAAAGAGGGAGTGAATTACAAAATATTGATATACATGGGAGAAGAAATAAGAATAAGAAAAAGGCTTCAAATTGAAATTTCTTGCCAGCCATTTTTCTTTTTTTCTTTTGCAGTTCAAATGATTCGAGAATGAATGCTAAATCTTTATTTTTGATATAGACATGCATGTCATGTGCGATCATTTTCATGTTACACACGTAGTCTATATTACTTTCATCATCAGAAAAAAGTAATAAATTATCATTATTTTTCATTTCTGTGTGTAACATTATTCTTTTTTAGAAAAGTATATAAATACAAGAGTTTCTAATTATCATAAATTATCTGGAAATTAATGGATTTCAGTATGTTGTATTATTAGTTTTTATTGGCAGAATTTGCTGGCATGACTTTTCAACCTCAATTTCCAATGAAGTAATCAGTAACACTGATTTGAACACTCGATGATAAGTTTGAATGTCACACATCAGCCCGTGAAGGATTTTCCCTCAGCGTGGGGCATAAAAAATGAGAACAAGAATGAATTTCCACATGATAGGAGTGGACACGGGCCAAATTTAGCTAGCCCAATGGCATAGACAGCTAAGAGGATGAGCATAGTCATCCTGCTAAAAAAATTAAATACAAAAAAGTTTATTCAGTTTTTAAATAAGGTAATTGTTCTGGATATGGTATTAAAGCAATTAAGAATTCAAGAATTTTGATCATTAAGACTTCATTAAGGGCTGTTTGGTAGTGATTTTGAAAATTGATTTTTTGACCATTAGGAGAAAAGTGCTGGTCACCCGTGAGAAAAAAAGCCAAACATGACGGCTATAATAGTAAAATAACGGTCAAAAAATCATTCACAAACAGGCTCTAAAGTCTAGCATAACAAAACTGTGAAATGAAAATATTTTATAAACTATAAGTCTTTTTTAACACATATAAATTTACACATGAAAAAGCATGGGGAATAATTAAATTAGTAATTGATATTAATAATTCACAATTAAAATTTTTTCAAGGTACAACATACTTTCTTGAAAGAACTAAGAAAAGACGTCGAAATCGTATATTAAGAGATAAATGTATTAAGAAATTTGCTTGGAATTGAAATTTCTTGCCAACTATTTTTCTTTTTCTTGTAAAATACTTGACCTTTACTTATAATAAAGAGTCATCTACATGCATGTGATGGGGAATCAATTCTTGTTACGTGGTCTACATCTGATTAATACTTTTGTCATAAAAAAAAAGTTTGTTATTTTCCATTTCTAATGATTCTTTTCTAGAAAAGTACATAAATACCAGATTTTGTGAATGTTATAAATGATCTAGAAATTAATAAATTTTAGAATCTTGTATTATTACTTTTAACCTGTAGCTTTTATTGGGCAGAATTCGCTGTCATAACTGTTCGACCTCCATTTCAAAAAAATAAAAAATAAAAATAAAAAATATATAAAAGGAAAAATAAAAAAGGACAGAAAAATTGATAATGATTTGAACACTCGACTACAAGTTCAAATGTCACACATCCGCTTGTGAAGAATTCTTAACTTTTGTGGAGCATAATAAGTGAGAAAAAGATAGCATTTACACATGAAAGGGACGGACACCAAGTTTAGCTTACCCAATCACAATGATACCTAACACAATGAAGAATAATCCTCATGTAAAAATAAAATAAAAGTGTAAAAAAGTAAACTACAGAGAACTTATTCCATATTTTCAATTGAGGTAATTACTATCGAAATATGGTATTAAAGAAATTAAATATCCTAAATTCAAGATTTTTGATCATTAAAACTTACATTAAAGTTGCTCCTTAATGGACATCAGTTCGAATCCCCTCAAGATCATTGATGTGAGTACTCAACTATAAACTTCAGAGTCCCATGAAATTGGTTAAAACGCACGTATGTTGGTCCGGACACCCATGGTCATTAAAAAAAAAAAAAAAAACACAAAACTTACATTTAAGTCCAAGATAAATTTATGTGAAAAGCTTGGAATAATTAAATTAGTAATTGATATTCATAATAAACAGTAAAAAAACTTCTCATGGTATTAATTAATGATTAATCAATGTACTTTCTTGTAAGAAATAAGAAAAGAGACCTAAATCTAATACGATAATTGCGAAATGGAACTATCAAAGTAATAGTTAATGAATGAAATTAATTTATCTTACCAAATATCAACATCTTTTAAAAATAAACCCTAATTCTTCTAATACTACTCTTAGAATTTTCAGTTTCCATAATTATTTTGAGATATGTTTTAATTGGCTAGTAATCATAATTCCAAACAAACTTTTCTTTTTATACAATAAAGTAAAATAATATAAAAATAAATCTAATTTAGGAGATGGCATATGGCGTGATCCCGTTCATGAAAGTACCAGAAAACTTAGCTCCAGCTTGGTAAGGATTAAAGTCAAAATTTTAGTCAAAGTTAAAGTCAAAATCAATAATTAATTTTTACCACATATTTTATGAAACTCACAACTTTTAATCCCACATTTTATCAATTTTCATCAAAATTTACTAAAAATCTAATTTTAATCTCCATCAAATAAGAGCTTATTGAGTGTTTGATCCACATTATTTTTCAAAAATGTATTTTGCAATAATAGATTGATGAAAAATGGATGGATAAAAAATAGAGAAAAGTTTTGGATTTACATGTAATATTATTTTATTTAAAAATATCATTGAAATAATGTTAAATCGATGTTCAAAAATATATTTTTTCAAAATAATATTGCTCAAACAAGACCTTAATCAATTAAGTAAAAATGGAACCTAAAGAGCACAAAATGTCAACTTTAAATTTCGTGTGACATTTGACTGTGTTGTGCATCACTTGTATTTCTAATCATACTTGTCTTTGCCCGTGCAATGCACGAGTTGAAATATTTTCAAGGTAAGTTTAGTGTGTTAAACGTGCTGAATTATCGTGAATTATATCCTTGATTCAATGTTTGCTATGGATACATTGTGATAGACTTTTTCTTCGAACCTTGCTACACTTACAGGAAAAAAAACTTACAGAATCTTTACAGACAACTCACAAGTGGGGTGGGTGGATGATTTTTTTTGGGATTTTTTTATTACACATAGGGCCCATACATTGTCTCTATTCTGACAGACTTCTGTGAAGTGAAATTCTGGAATTTCCCTATTTCTTCTTGAGTACGTTGAGAGATTTATCAAAGCAATATCATTTCAAACCAAGCAAGCAAATAAAGAAGTCCATTTTTCACCAATAAACATTTTATTGCCAATAACATTAATAGAGATTTTTCTAATTTGTTATAAAGTACAAGAAATATAATGTCTGTCCAACTTCATTTCCTCAACTACTTTTAATTCATTGAATGTTTTTCCATTCTACATTAGCATATGAACACCTTATCGGATTTACGAAATGTTATCTACATTGCTTTTACATGTATCTCTCCATCACAGATTCACAATAAACATCAACTGTCACTACTCAACAATAAAAAAAAGGAAAGTTATATCGTCCAAAAGAAACATATTTCATTCAGTTTTTAACTTCACTAAAATAGACTGAAGTATTATTACAATGCCATTGAAGACCTGACATTTCTAGAAAGTTCAATTGCAGCCATGGTAGGAACTCTAAGCTAACTAAGAAACTCTCTAGAGAGGTTTGCAGGGTGAAAAATCTCTCTCATTTGTTGCTAAACGAAATGGGGTCAAAGATGATGCAATTGGAGTTAAACCATTTGTTCTTTGCAACTGGAGTTATTCAAGACTCAGCAAACATGTCTCTATCTTTTTCTAACACATTTATATATACTTATGTGTCTATATGCTTAAGTGTTGTTTGTTTGCTTGTTGACTTACTGTCAATTATGCGGGGAATTCAGAATGCACCTTTGATTTTAGTGTTCCATGTATTCATTAAAATAATCTGAGGCTGAATAGCATTAAACGAAAGCTCCACATTTTGAAAACAAATTGTAAAGAATTAAAATAGATTATCAATAGATTTCATAAGGCCAATAGTAAGATAAGAAGAAACTGGCAGAACATTTGTTTGTTTTCATTTCTCCACCTTTAATAAAATCTATGACAATGCTACGTACATTATCGCGAGCTGAAAATTTAGCAACAGCCCATTTTTCTTGCTGAATTGATAAAATTTTTTACCATGCTTGGTAAATTTTTCATTCTCGAGACAATCAATTATCCGGGATTTTCCTCTTTCAAAGATTGGACCATCTAACTCAATCACAAATCCATAAGTAGAACTGTCAATCATTCAAAGCATACAATTTAATTTTATTCCATCACTTAAATTTGCTTAATGTAATGAAGCACCGATACCAATAGCTTCATTTTGCATCCAAATGTTTACCTAGATCATTCCTTCCTAAGTTCCAGAAGATTAGTCTGTAGAAGGAGTTAGCATTTGCTTACTCTTAGTCTAAGAGAAAACAGGTATATTTTGTTGGAATACAAAAAATCTATCATAAGAAAGCTTAAGGGGAACTAATCTTGCAGGCTTGGGAGGGAAGGCCTCACGACTACTGTATAAACAAGTTGTTCCTCCCCTTCCAGACATCCTAATTCCTTTAGGATCAATAAACCAACACATTTTTTTAATCACCAACTTATAGTGAGGTTCTATTCACAATATGGTTATCATACCTCTAAACCCCTTCATATTCTGTAGACTATGTGCATCCCAATAATTCTCGAGAATTGTGCTGTTTTAAGTACTCAGACTTTCAACTCTTTCTCTTAATTTGCCCGTTGGTAGTTATGTGTTTCCAAATTCTTATTTCCTTGTGTTATTTTTCTCCTTTCTAACTTTTCCCTTTCTCTTCATGGCAAAAATGTGTATCCATTATGCAGAGAAACCTTTGAGAACAATTGAAATAGATGTCAATTTTCAGAAATAATCAACTATCTTGAGCACTGAGAAAAAACGGTGCATCCAAATCACCAACTTATAGTGAGGTTCTATTCACATTATGGTTATCATACCTCTAAACCCCTTTATATTCTGTAGACTATGTACATCCCAATAATTCTCGAGAATTGTGCTATTTTAAGTACTCAGACTTTCAACTCTTTCTCTTATTTTGCCCGTTGGTGGTTATGTGTTTCCAAAATCTTATTTCCTTGTATTATTTTTCTCCTTTCTAACATTTCCCTTTCTCTTCAGGGCAAAAATGTGTATCCATTATTCAGAGAAACCTTTGAGAACAATTGAAATAGATGTCAATTTTCAGAAATAATCGACTATCTTGAGCACTGAGAAAAAACGGTGCATCCAAAAAATGAATAACCCAAATCTTGAACAATTAATTTCTTATTGAAGACATCCCTTCACAAATTGAGATTTAAACAATTTTTATGAGGGGGGAAAACAAAATGAAAACTTGCCTTATATTGATCATAACGAATCCAGTCACTCAAGCTTTAGGGGAAAAGGAAGTGCTTCAGGTGGATCTCCCATTCGCTTCAGTAAACACTCGTAGAGGGCGGAAAAAGCTAGCCTTCTGCAGGAAATTAACGGCGGAGAAGTATCAAAACGATATAAACCAGTCATTTTTGCCTATTTACTCATAAATAGCATTATTTTTTTAAAATACATTTTAGACTAATTATGTAACAGGTCGCTTCACATATTTGCCTCATGACAGAGATTTCGAGATCCTAAAAAATTGTCATCTTATGTTTCAGAATTATATGTGACAAAGATATTTTAGAGACAATTCAAGAACACATTTTTGCATAAGCTAAACACTTCATCTGCAAAACAACAAAAATCAAATATGTTCTTTTCGTAAATAGCACTCGTCAGCATGCTCATAGATAAGATTCCTAAGAAAAAACATTTCTTCTGTCATTTTAATCCAAAAGAATTTCAAATGAAATAAATAGAATATAATTAAAGGATACAAACTTAGAACTCTAGTAAGTTTAAGAAGTCCACATATTTCTTCTCAATATAAACAAGACAAACTAAAACACATAGAATTGGTATAATAAAAAAATGTTGACTGATAGACATTGTATAGCTGGATTATTTCACAAATTTTACCCTTGTTTGATTTTGATTTTGAAAATCACTTTTTTGCAAGCTCATTTTTAACATCACAATATCCTAATAAAATAATTTTGCAAGTGGACTCATAACTTTTCCTACTTTTTGGCCAAATTTTTTTTTTTTTTTTTGACTTTTTACAAAATCACTTCTCAAAAAATCAAAACAATGGCTTAATAAAGAATTATGTTACATTCTTAAAGGGATCAATAGTCCATACTTCTATTTCTTGTTGATATTAAAAGAAAACTTGAGCTTGTTTATTTATCTGTGATGAGAAAATTCAAGTTTTTTGTAAGAGTTGCTCGAGTTTGAATGGAGCTACGAACTTGAATTAGAGCTCAAGCTTAAGTAGATTGGATCTTCCTCAGTAGCCTTGAAATCATTAAACTCAAACCATAAGACGGCACATTAACTTAATAAAACCCCAAATTAAAACATATAAAAGACCTAATTTAATTTCCTTGTTCAAAATTCTAAACTAATGGTACTTGCATATTACGAGACAGATTACTACTGTGAATGAATCAAATAAAAATTATCTTTTCTATACTAGCAAGGTTATATTGAATGCTAAAACATATACAACGGAATAAGAGTGAAAAATAATAAAATTAGGGCTGAGGTCCAGGGAATCACCCAACTAATACTAACAAAATAAGCAAAAAACCAAAAATCAATTAATAATAAAAGGATAAAAACCAGCCACGGTCATCAGGGCATATTTAGAAGGAGAATACGGAGAGGGATCAAGACACACCTTGTCAGGTTCATAGTCGATCTCAGTACCACTGCCAGCAAATAAAGAGTGAGCGAAGATCCATCCACAAATTTGTAGATTCCTACGAAATGCGGTTGAGGTTCACCTGTATCTTTTCCTCTCTCCCCCCAATTATACATCAAATTAACAAGATATATACCGTCATTAAATTTATTCAAAAAGGATGCAAACGGTAATGGTTTGCCTTCAATTTTTAGGAAGGCAACTCATACATAAAAAGATTAATCTAATTCAGATGCTAAATCGCTATATTCTTTAAGCCTTCAACAAGTAAGCTAATAGTTGATGTAAACTCCTTTCAGGGAAATTAAATGCATACATATTAAATCTATATTGTAAGTAGACTTGAAGCAAGACACTGTTATACATGCATACTTATTTTCTATGTTCGAACATAAAACTACAGTAACATTCATATTTTTGATGATGTTTAGCAATTAAAATGAGGTCTAGAGTATCGACTGAGAAGTTAAAATTTCAGAACTAAGTCCTCTCTGATTGCAATTGTAAATTTTGCCAAACACAACAGCAAAACCACAGCTCAAAATCTTAGCATGAAAAAGGCCCCAATGAACAGAAAAAGTTTTCATTTTAATGACAATGTAGAGAACAGACCTCTGTCATTCCTGTCATTTGGACTTTCACCGGTCTCAATCTTCCCATATGTATACCTATAAAAGCAATACTAAATCAATTGCAATATCAATAATAGATCAATTTTTTTCTTTTCTTTATACATTAAAGTAATCAGATTTAACATGAACAAAATGATAATAGACAAGGATATGCATACATAAACTAATTAAATGCAAAGAGTAACCTTCTGAAGATGATACTTGTTGTCCTCCCCAGCTATATCATATAATGTACAATTATACCAACAATTATTCTCAATCTTCCCATATGTATACCTATAAAAGCAATACTAAATCAATTGCAATATCAATAATAGATCAATTTTTTTCTTTTCTTTATACATTAAAGTAATCAGATTTAACATGAACAAAATGATAATAGACAAGGATATGCATACATAAACTAATTAAATGCAAAGAGTAACCTTCTGAAGATGATACTTGTTGTCCTCCCCAGCTATATCATATAATGTACAATTATACCAACAATTACTTGGTGAAGGTCAAATTCCTTCAATTGAATACAGTAAAGCCTGTGTTCAGCCTTGTGTTCAGCTGGAGTACTACAACCTGTGTCCAGCCTTGTGTTCCAGGCTTCCAGCTTCATCTGGAACAGGAATACTAAAATCTGTGTTCCAGCCGTGAGTTCTTGCTTCATCTAGGGCCGGAGTAGTGTGATCTATGTTCTAGCCTTGTGTTCCAGTTTCATCTTCAACGGGAGCACTATGGCCAGTGTTCCAAACTTGAAATCCTGAAATGTTGACATTTGAAAATGTACGTTATTGATTTTCGTTATTGATTTTCGATTCAATTGGAGATAAATCGAAGGTCTTCCCATCAAATCTCAATGGTGTAAAGGAGAATATGGCAGTTAACTGAAGTGTAAGTGCATGGCAATTTTATCAGTTCAAAAATATCAAATATCTTGAAAACCATCCTATCATTTTAATGGAGGCTTCAAATCAAATAGGTCCCCCAATCAGCCTTGCTTGCAATAGCTGTTTTCTGAAGTGTGCAAGAAGAAATCGATACAGAAAAAGAATAAATAGAAAAATATTATCATCTAGAACCTAAAATAAGGGGTTTACAATTACTTAAGAATTTTGTGTTTCCATTATCATTTGCCACTCACAGGAAACCAGAATGTCATTGTGAGGACCTGCAAAATAGCGTTTGAGTAATTGAATTGGATACTAAAACTGTCTCAGACTTTCTTTTGGTTATATGGAAATATGGATCATTTAGCAATTACATTCCCCTAACAAGATTAAGGATGAAAGGAAAATGTGGTATTGTTAAAAACCTGATTGCTCTTGCTTTCTTCTTATTGTCCTCTGTTGAACCGACCTTGGCAACCAATCCAAACCATGGAAGCCTAGCTTTTTTCCTTGCTTGCTCATCTACAGGTGCAAACTGGACAATCACAACTTTGAGAAGATAGCCAAAGTGTCAAACCAAGAAATCGAGTGAAGTCGTGAACCTCTCCGCTCTAGCCTTCCTCTTTAGCTCCTCTAGTTGCTTTGATGATTCTGATCCTCGTGTGGTGGACAAATTCCAAACCTGCAATAAAACCAATGCAATTGAATAGGTGCTCAATAAACAAGACACTGTAGTCCCCAAACCCGTACTAAAGTAAACAACGAAAATTATAATAAAAGCAAATGAATGCAGAAACATGTCAATTACAGACAGGGTCATCATCAATCAAGCTATCCATTAGATTTGGAATTTGAAACACACATAGCCATATGTGGCTTCTTGCTTAAGTAATATGAGATTAGAGCTTGATGGTCACATGGAATACATAGTATATCGATCTATTTATTTGGTTTGAAGGGATGGGAATAGGGAATAGAGGGAAATTTTGGATGAAATGAAAAAGAACCAATATATTCCACGAAGAAAAAAGAATGCGGTGTACAACTTGAACCCTTAGCTCATTACAAAAGCATATAATTCAAACTCAATGGACCAATGTTAGGATCTTCTCTGAATTTATTTTCAATGAAACATGTACCTACCTCAAATAATGTCTAATAGGTCTCTCCATATCTATCTATCTCAATCTAAAGTAATGGAAAGCATAGAGAATCAGAGGCAGATTAAGGCAAATGAATTCCTCTATTTTTTTTCCTTTTGAGACAAAATAAATTATTTTGCCTCAGGTTTTGGATTTGAGCCCATGACAACAGTTAAATCGAGATGGTCTCCAAAAGATAGTTGGAGAGAAAGCATTAGCAGCGTTTGGTGTTGGGTGGTGGAGAAAAAGGGTGGATGATGATGGTGATGACGGCCAACCCATCCATTCAAACGTCGACTGTTGTTCTTCCCTCTGTGGATCTTCCGAGGATTCCAATTTTGCAAGGGATTTTGGGGAGAATTTTCGTAGATTTGAAAGAATGAACCAAATTGGGTTAGGGAAATGGCTGCCAAGAATATATGAGAGGAGTGATATAGTCAAGCCACCGTAGAAAAAGAGTTAAATATTTCATTAGACACCCCGTACTTTACAATTCGTCACGGCTTAGCCATTGAACTTCACTAAACTTCCCAATGGCCACTGAACTTAAATCCGTTGCACTAAAATGGCCACCGGATGGATTCCGTCTTTGCTTGTGCCTACGTGCATGACGGAAATGTGGATTGGCAGTTAAAATTGTTCATATTTTGAGTGAGTTGCACACGTGGATGCCAAATCATCCAAACGAGCCCTTACCCATATAAACCCAAATCCAATTCATTTTCAAATCGTGCTTTCAGCTGCGATTTTGGAGAATCCTTTAATTTGGAGGAAAATGAAAGCATGAGAAGAAAGGGGTCAAGCCCAAAACACGCCCAGAGCCTTAACCCCCAAATCCATTTCAAACATCCAATTTGATTCGGTTTGCGCTAGCTGAATTTGGCAACCAATACCGCACACAGAAGGTCCATTTCATCTGAAGGTATTTTCGTGACAATGCATTTAATTGTTTTAAAAAAATGGTCGTTGATTTTAAACGACTGGTTGATTGTGAAATTTTAAATGAAAGTTACGGTAATTAGTTTTAATGCTCGAGGATATGCTAAATTAAATGGGTTGTTGATCTGAATTAAATGATGTTTAAGCATGATTACACTTTTGAATTGAAGTTTCAAGATCCCCCAACCCTTTGGTGCGTGAATTAATTTGGATGGACTGAAAATGTGTAAAAATTGTGAAATTTAGAGCAAGTTGAATATCGGTTAGTTGAATAAGGGACAGTTGAGTAACCATTGGTTTGATCATTATTTTATAGAAAATATTATATCAACCACATAATGCATATGATTTAATGCATGCAGGCTTGTGGATGTGCAGGTTGTTTTTAACTAATTACTTCATTGAAACCACTTGTCGGAATGCCCAACAAAGAAACGACTTTGAGGATGTGGATTTGGCTTCTTGAAATGTATAGAGGTAGAGAAAAAAACTGAAAACATAGGCCACTTATTCTCATGTTGTCGTAGAGATTGTGGTTATTTCAAGTGGAACTACAATTCATCATCGTTCGAAGAAATACCTTTGCAATTTGAAGGTGAGTTTAGTCGAGAATCGAATCTGTTTGTTCGGGTAAATCGAAGCCGAAAGAGCCACTTGAAGATTTGTCGTGTATGTTGAAGACATTTGTTCAGATAACAAAACAAAAAGATGTGGAAATATCCAGCAATATGATGATCCGCAAAGGAAAGGGAGTTATTGAGGACAAAGGGAAAGAAAATGGAAGAGTTCCTTGAATTTGATCCAACCATGTAATCAAATAAAAGTCTCATGTAACCGTAAGTTGTAATAGTTGCAATAGTTTAAGGTTTCAAGACTTGGATGCAGTGTTGTAATAGATTAATGTTTTGAGACTTGGATGCGATATTGTAGTAACTCTGTTAAATGAGAATGAGAATGAGAATGTATGGTCAGCAGTTTTATCTTCAGTTTTTATCTATGATTACTAGCAAATGTGGAGCTTGTCTGCACTTTTACATGGTGAGAATACTCCCGATATGTTTGGGTTTGGCTTTAGTTCTCTTGCATTACCTATTGATATTGGATTATTAATGATGATTATAGTTGTTCTATTTTGATTTTTCTGATGTTGGTGGTTCTGCTGTAATGTATCTGATTTTAGCTATAATATATTGAACTTCATAATCATTCATTTCTGCCCTTGTATTCTTCTAGATACTGAACATATGACCAGGTTAAAATCTTAGCTAGAATTCCAACACTGAATTGAATACTTGGAGTTTTACTAAGCTGATGTCCTAACAAGATAAACCAAAGTATTTAGCCACAAAACTAAAGAAAAATAGCAACCAATTATGCGGTGTGCAAAAAATGTTCAAATCCAAAAGTATGTTTACAGCCCAGAAATTACTCCATGTTTAAACACAGCATCTATTTGTGCAAATCCAAAAATATGCTTCATGTTTATAAACAGATATTAAACACTCCAAAAAACGTTAATTTCATTCGGCCTTCATTCTGCCCGTGCCTTCCTGCTCGTAGACTGCATGGATGTGGACGTCAAAGTCTTCACATTTCTCTTTTTCGTTCCCTTTCTGCCCTCAACAGCGATGATTCCACCTCATCCATGCTTTGCACTTCAAACTTATTTGCATCAGGAGGAACATTATGTATGGTGGCAGCAGGTCCGAACGTAAGGCTTCCAGTGTCTTTGATACTGTATCTTTCTTGATTAATAAACCCAATGAAGCATCCAGAATTTTGTTTTATCGAAACTTTCCATGACTGTTTCTCACAAAAATAAAAGAGTGATAATTAGAAGTGCTTTGAATCAAATTAACTAGTTCAACAAATAATCCAACATATATAAATAACAACATAAAAAAAATTAGAACGATATCTTAATGATTCAACAAAATAACAAGTTTCCCAGATAATATTCTTCATTAGATCACGAGTCTCAAAATTCATTATAATTTCAGTTAGTCATTTGCTCCAAGTGTAAGAAACAAGACCTTCTAAGTTTCTAAAAACGAATTGATCTTGTCCACTCTTACCTTACTATAATTAATGCCACCCAATCTACTCCAAGACTCAGAAGTTTGTTAAGTTATTTTCTTTACTGGATTACAAAAACTAAATCAGGAGTTAAATGTTATGAAATAATACTAATTAACGCAAACAAGAATGTTAATAAAAGAAAGCTAGTACAAGAATGCCCGGAACACTACATCAATGTATAAATTTCAAAATCTGAACCAAATTTACTTGCATTTCCGACAACCATGTGCACGCCTTCTCTAATGCAATAAAAAAACTTGCAACTCATTAGTCAGATTTTGGGAGGCCGCCGATGGAGGCTTGAAACTGATTTCGGGGTAGGGTTTGGGTTTGAGACTTTTAGGTTGTGGTTCATCGTTCTCACGCTTTTGGCTTCTGTATGATGGATTTTGGCTTCAATTTGAAGAAAGGTTCGAAATTGATTTGGGGGGTTAGGGTTTGGCTTCATGATTTGGGTTGAATCTCATCGTTCTCGCGTTTTCATTCTGTGTGCAAGTTTTTCTTCCCAACGCGAGTTTAATATTATATTGATAAGGGCTCGTTTGGATGATTTGGCATCCACGTGTGCAACTCACTCAAAATATGGACAATTTTAACTGCCAATTCACTTTTTCGTCATCCACGTAGGCACAAGTAAAGACGAAATCCATCCAGTGGCCATTTTAGTGCAACGGACTTAAGCTCAGTGGCCATTGGGAAGTTTAGCGAAGTTCAGTGACCAAGCTGTGACGAAGTGTAAAGTACGGTGGTTAATGAAACATTTAACTCGTAGAAAAACCAATTTGAATAAAACACGTGTTGGTTATCGTCGCAGTGAGGGAAGAGAAACGAGGTTTTGCCTTCCGAGAAGAGAAATAGAGGTATTTGCAAGAAATCAAAGCAATAAAGTCTGATATTTTGTCAACAGTGTTAAACCCGTTTGTGAAAAGTGGAACTAGCTAGGTGCGAAAGGGGGTACTTTTTAAAATAATCAAGTCAAAACATCAATTTTTCACATTGACCAATTTTTTTTTGTCATTCACCAAAATGACTTTTTGAAGGGTAAATGTCAATTTTGTCCTTATTATGTGTTGTAATTACAAAAACATATCATTTGTCCAAAAAACAATAATACCCTCTTTAAAAAAGTAATAAATCCAAACAATCTCACTTAAATCTCAAAACAAAATGACTTTTCTTATCAGATTTTTCAACACAGTTAAAAAGAAATTTCCTCTTCCATCTGCTTGAACATTGAAATCTCAAAAAATTATCAAAGGCTCAACAAAAAAGTATTACTCACAATCGGCACTTGAATTTGGTAAGTATAAATACGTATGTTTAATTTTATTTTAGTTAAATTAGTACTTTGTTTGAATATTTAAATTTTATTTCAACATATAATTTTAGAAAAATGAAAGATTACAGTCTTGAATGGATATAAAATTATTTTTTTTTAGCAAAAACGAGGAAAAAAATTCATCTGTGTAGATGCAAACAGCCGAATTTTTGTGTCCGGGCCGAATGTTTAACAGCCGTCCCAGATTGGGGGCTAGCTGTTAACAGCCTACCCTATCGACCCCGATAGGGCAGCTGTTGCCTGCCCGGACTGTTCGGGCCGGCTGTTACACGTAATTTTTTTTTGTATGGTAATTACAATTTTTTTATTATATGATGTTTCGTAATGCAGATATGGGATCAGCTGCTGTCCCGATTTGTTACTTTGGTGAATTTGAAAATAATGACAATGATCAATGGGTGTTAAAATGGATGAGTGAAAGACATGATTGTACTGCAATTGTAATAACATCCAGTACATCATATGCAGAAATATACAATGAGATACAGAACTTGTTAAAAGTCAATCCCTCTGAGTACGCCATGGAATTGGGATTTCTAATGGACGAGAATACATCCATTTCAATTCCACCTATAACGATTACTTCTAAAGTCGAAATGAAGGTTTTAATTGAAATGAATTTGGAACGTACGATTCCTATTTGCGTAACTTTGATAAAGAAGAAAGTCCCCGAGAGTGAACAGGTAGATTTCGATGGGGGGATCGTAATGTGAATGAATTTTGGGACACAGTGGAAATAGTGCGTAATGATGTTGTAGCTGTTCCAGAGACAGTTGCTTCTCACCATGATGTCACTGTTACACACAGAATTTGTTCGGTAGTTCAAGACAACAAAAGAGATAATGACTTTACAAATGAGAATTTGATTGCTTTATCCCGTTTGAGACATGCGTTGAGTGGGAGCTCACAGGATGGACCGAATGCACAGTCCTCTAATTGTTAGCGTATAGTCCCCGATGGTGAAGATTTGTATGTCGAGCAACCGTTTGACAAGAAGATAGATTTGCAGGAAGCTATTCACCGGATTGCTTTGAAACACAATTTTGAGTTTAAAATGAAGAAATCAAACAAGTCGACTTACACAATTGTCTACGTTGACGACAGTTGCCTTTGGCGTTTGCGAGCAGCGAAAATGGACACGAATGAATTCTTTGTGGTTCGTAAATATACACGGGAACATACTTGCGAAGTGGGTATTCATCGAAATGATCGCAGGCAAGCCCGATCATAGTTCATTGGTCGAGAAGTAATGCACAAATTTCAGGACCTAGGAACAATTTACAGACCTTCGGACATTGTTAATGACGTTCGTCGAGAGTACGGGGTGGTCATGAGTTATCAGAAGGCTTGGAAGGCCAAAGAATGTGCGTTGGAGGATTTGATGGATTCGACCGAGGAGAGTTATGCTAAATTGGCCAGGTATTAATTTCAATTGTTTATTTAATTATTTATCGAATCTTTATCTAATGTGTAATTAATTATTTAATTCAATTGTTAATTTTTCATTTTTTTAATATTGTTTATTTAATTATTTAAATTATGATTATTGTTTATTTAATTGGTCAGGTTTTGCTATAACATGGGAAGAATTAATACTGAATCGGTATTTTTATTGAGAAGGATGACGAGAATCGCTTCAAATATTTCTTTATGGCTCTTGAACAATACGTTCGAAGATTTCAAACGCAATGGGACTCTTAATTCTAGTGGACGGTACAACCCTCAAGGCGAGATACGAGGGCAAGTTGATTATTGCAACGTGTCAAGATGCTAACATCCAAATTTAGTTTCTTGCATTCGGCATAGTTGACGGAGAAAATGATTTGGCAATGCGTTGGTTTTTCACGAAGTTGAGGGAAGCAATTGGGGATGTTGAGAACATTGCATTCGTATCCGGCTGAGAGCAGTTAATAATTAACGGTATCTTCGAAGTCTTCCCTGAGGCACATCATGGTTATTGTATGTACCATATACAAGGAAATCTGAAGACCAAGTATTGAGACAAGGGGATCGTTACATTGTTTAGGAGAGCTGTAGAGGCTTACAGTTTTCAAGAGTTTGAAAAGTTTATGGTTGAAATCGAAAGTAAATCTTATGATGCATGGGAGTATCTGACGGAGATGGGGATCGAACATTGGGCACGATCACATTTTCCAGGACGTCGATACAATATAATGACGTCGAACAATGTGGAGTCGCTCAATATCTTATTTAAGAAGGATCGAGAGTTACCAATTCTCGCAATGGTTGAGAACATTCGTGACAAGCTACAACAGTAGTTTTATGATCGTCGTGAGAAATTACAGAGTTGCACAAGTGTGCTAACCCTGGTTCAGGAAGATAAACTCTTCAAAACTCTAGAAGTGGCAAGGAAGGTATATGTAGAACCACTAGATCAGTTTCGCTTCTCCGCGAGATGTGCACGTAATTTTTGATACATCGTCGACTTGAATGATAATACGTGCACGTGTAGACAGTTTCAGTTGGAGAATTTTTCGTGTACACATGCAGTGGCAGTGGCTATGTATAGAGGAATTCCACCACACACCTTATGCAGTGCTTATTACA